GAGGACAAAGTTTTTCCTTCGTTTTGTGCATAGGAGGGGATCGCAATAATGTTTAATTTTAAGAGAGCTTAGCTCTCTCTTAGTTTTTCTTAAAGCTTACCAAATGGAGGTGTTAATAAGTATTGTATATTTATTTGAAGATTTTTCTAAAGAAAATATGTTAAAAGTACAAGTCCAAGATTATTTTGAGGTTTAATACTTGAAAAATAACGTTGCAAGTATCTGTAAATTGTGGAAAAATACTAAAAATATATGTACTAAATTAATTGAACCAAGAAAACAGTTTATTGAAGAAATTTTCATTCTGCCTAATAACAGTATTAAGAACATTTTAATAACCTGCTGAAAACGTTAGAAAACGTTTTATATGGGTGCTTTGATGCCAAATGGCGGCAACTGGGCCAGTCTTCGTAGCCATCTTTTACAATAAGGATCTTAATCTATATAACACTTGTTAGAAGATATTTTATATTTTAAGCTTTACATTCATTTGTTACAAAACGACGAAATTGTAAAAATAGAGCATGTGTTTTTTTTACAGAAAAAGTGGTCTTCGGTACCATCTAACTAGATACAAGTATGTACGAGATTCTTCGAGCACCTAAGTCGTCCGGTTTAAAAAATGCAGTTTCGAGAAAAACTGGTGTGGCGCTTGCTTCAGCATTGGGAGTCACCCGTAAAGCTATTTCAAAGCGACTAAAAGCGCTGAAAAAAAGTGATTTGATGCATGACAATGACATGATTCGGCCTCAAGTAGCCAACTCCGTTAAAACCTACTTGGAAACGCCTTAATGGAAAATCCTTCCCCATCCGCAATATTCCTCAGATATTGAACCGTTTGATTATTATTTGTTCCGTTAAATGGTACATGGTCTTGCTCAGAGGCAGTTCCACTCACAAGACGATATCAAAAAACGGCTTAATTCTTGGATAGCGTCACAAGATGACCAGTTTTACTGTAATGGAATTCGAGATTTGTCAGAAAGATAGGAAAAAGTTGTGACTGGGGATGGGCAATACTTCGAATAATTCATTTTTAAACATTTCCTTACAATAAAATTAAATTTTCATTAGAAAAAGAAACAGCGAGAACTTGGTTGTGCACTTAATATAATGTAAATTCCAAAACAAATTAATTACCTTGTAAATTTTCTCTTAAAACACAAACACTCTTAACACTTTTCTTCCATATATAATATTCGAATTTGCTCCACTTATGACACACATTTAAGTGGCTTTAGTACTGAATAAAACTGAACAGCCGTCATATTCCTTAAAACACCCATACATATACATTGGCTTTCCGTAGAACGTACAACATACATACATACAAGTACATATACTACACGCTCAAATATTAAAAAGGACAAATGTTTACAACTTTGTTGTATCTACAATTAAAGTACTAGGTCTTCCTAAAGTATATACAAAATGATGGTATGCCTGTACATACATAATTGTTTCTTACATAACAGCATTTATGGTTATGAGTCGCACGAATTTTAAGGAGTGGCTTGGTGGTCGAGCCTTTTCCTTGCTAATGCCAATGTCGGGTCGGTTGAGAGGTGCTGTTTCGATTTTATAGTTTCCTCCTAGGCATAAAACAATTCCAACAACAACACTTTTTACAATTTAAACCCTAAAATAATATAAAATTGGTATGTGATAGTAAAACTTAACATTGGCGGATGTGGAAATGTGTATTGCCTAGTGGTCGCATTTTTTGTATGACGAAAAACCAAAACAAAAGTCAATGGTACAATTTACATTGAATATTAATGTTTATAGTGTGTTCTAGATATTAATGTGGTGTAAAATTGCACTCCATGGCGTTTTTATCGAAGACTCTAGAAATTTTACTATGTACTTCAATAAAATAAGTCTTATGAATCCATTCGATTACCTCTTAATTTTAATTTCTCTTCGCAAAGCCATTTGAAATGGGCCGAAATAGGAAAATAACTTGAGAAAGAAGCATGTGTTAAATAAATACCATTGGTATTTGTTCGGTCTTGTGCAATGTAGTTGTAAACTATGTTAAACTAACAAAAGGGTAACACTTTTGACGCTCATCTTATAACTGTAAAATACATCGATGTGTTTATACAAATAAAAGCCTGATAATCTGGCGCATAAAGTGGTGTTTTTAAGTTATTAATATTATTCACATATGCACATTTAACACATTCAATCTTTTGACATAAAAGATAACAACAACAATAATTCAGTGTTACACGAAACGAGCTTTTGTAATGCCTTTTAAAACTTCGCACAATGGCTTAATTACCGTTGCACGCCAAGCGTTAAATACATAGGAACAAAGCGCAATCTAATGTGGTAGTACTGGTAGTACAACAAATACAGTCACAATTGTCCTTATCTCAAGCAGCTGACAAGTGCGGCAATTTGTGGTAGCGCAGGCTTTGCTTTTGCCTTTGCTTCTGCTTAGTGTGAAATTAGTTTGCTTTGTTTAAATTATTTTTTTTTTTTGCTTTTACTTTCGCATTTAACGTAAGAGGATCGAGAGAGGTGCTTATTAGTCGTTTTGTGCTTCTTCTTCTTCTTAGCTTAAGTTTTAGTTTTAATATTGATTTTTATTCGTACGGGTTATGTCTGTTGGCAGCAACACGTCCGGAAAGAAAAAAGACGCTTAATGTGTTCAATCCAATTAAAAGTTTTAGCTTTAGTTGAGTTATCGCGCCGGCGTCTTTGGCTAGTTATTGGGTTGTCGGGTGGTCGGGCCAAGTATTTGCTCAAACGAAACTAACTTAAGCTAGTAATACTTGGAACGAAATGCAGAAGATAGACGAAATAATTTAACAAGCCCGTGGACGGTGGACTATTTACATACTAAATTGGGCCTTAAAAAGTACAGGTAAATTTTCCACTAGCTTTTATTTTACTATGGTCTTTTAAAGGTCTGCATAATATTGGTTTCAAAAGCTATTGTAAAGACTTTTTCATTCAATATCTAACTAAAAATACATATTAAATGCCTATAAATGGTATTAGATATGAGTCCTTCAATAATGAGAAAAAATTTTAAACTTGGTTCATAAACTTGGTTTCTTTATTTTTTTCGCTGAGAACAATATGGTTCCATGCAACAAATAAATATAACTGGAAATACATTATGATGGCTTACGGGGGTATTCTGGTTTAGAAAAAAAAAAGATTTTTATTTACATATTTTTGTAGTATAACCCTTGAAGAATATGTCACTAAAAAGATTTTTTGAAATTTCAATTAGTTTCGGAGTTACAGCTCATTTTGTGATGCGCCGACAAATCGACTGGCTGCTCGACGCGAGCTTGAAATTCGTTTTTCTCTGAACTACTTTTTTAGAAACGGTGTGCATGATATCTCAGGTTCTACTCTATCGATTTATTGTACAATACTTGACATTTTATACAGAGTTTTTTTTTATACATTATATAATACTATCACACCATGATAGGATTTTTGAATTTATTTTATTTTTATTTTTAAAAACTTCCGAGCGGCAAGAAAATAGGGAAATAACGAAACATAACTTGGCGGCATGGAATATTTGTAATTTTTTTTATATTATAAATGATTTGTATCCTTTTAATATCGTCATAGCAAAAATATATGGTTTTTTTTATCGGGTTCGAAAAAGTGCCTAAAATTCGGGGTCTAACCCAGAATACCCCTTTAAATACAAAAGAAAGCTAGGGTTAGCTATAACAGATCCCTTGGTAAACAAATGAACTAGACGGCAAGTTATTTGTATCTTAAGTTTGTGATGTAAATGCCTCAACAGTTAGTAAAAGTGATATTGGTCATTCTGAGCTGGGTTGTTCGAATAGGTCAATGTCCCATAATACCTAATAAGTCAATTGATTTTCTTTTGCAGGAAATCTCATGATAAACTTTTGAGCCCTAGTTTGAAAAAAAGAAAAAATACATGTTTACTTCAATTCACTTTTATACAAAATTGTACTACTGTGCGGCGTGGGATTAAGGTGGTAAATTCTGTACGGGTAAGTTAGTGCAATACACAAGAACCAATAAAACATCGACCTCCACACACCACCAATGTACATATGTTCCATGTATATATATTCAATATGGCGCTAGCCTGGCTTTGCAGTCTTCTTCACTGCTTACGCCTTAATTAATGACAATGAAACACGCAAACTGTGGCTACGAGGTCAAAATACGTGTCGGACTTAAACATTAAGTTCCTCGTTCGGAACCAAAAAGTACTCTCGACGCAAATACAATGTTGGTCGCTTGCTCTTCACTTCCTCCTGCACTCTGACCCGCTCTAGTCGTTCTTAAAGTGCATTCTCTTTCGGGGCTCGGCGTTGCAATAGTTTGTTAGTTTATGCGGTTTTCGAAAAACTAAAAGAAAATTCAAAAAAGTAGAAAATAATGTAAATTACTTAAATGGACTTAAGCGTATACTTAGCTACTGCAGTACACACACACACGCACACTTATACACACGACAGGTAAATAATGCTGCAGTACCAGGAAGTCACAATGAAACCATAAAACACACAGCTCGTCTGTGTGTGAGTGAAGAGTGTGGGCGCTTGATGTGCGAAAAGTCAAGTCCACACTTTATGCGGTCAATGGCTGACGGCGGTTTGTTAAAATAAGCTGAGAGTGCGCGGGAGTCAAAAAGAAATAGCAACTTAAGCAGAATTTAAACAAGCTTGCGTGCTTAAAAGCAAATATATAAGTATGCATGTGTGTGGGGGGTATGGGTGTAAATTAATGGCCACTAATACAAGAAGTAAATTGTGTTTTGCTTGTGTTCCGTCGAAGAGCCCTTCTGCAACTTAAGCGTCTAACAAATCAGCGTAATTAATCAATTTGTGGCACATACTATACGTTTTAACTTATACTCAAATGTTGTTGTAAACTACAATTTATACTCATATATGGCCACAATTCCCTTAGAAGTTTACTACAATTTATTTTTAAATCTCAAATTAATTTACATTGTTTACCTTTTCTTCTGATTGCAGTTACCTACTGGCTTGACGTACATATCCGAAACTTTCGAAACTTAATGGCTTTGACAGTTGGTTATTTCACATTTCTGTCGCTTTAAACGGTGAGTTACGAACTTATTTTTTATGTTAATTGAAAATGCGTCGTGCTATGTGTTTTCCAGGAAGAGTTGAACATTAATAAATTACAATAAACGACCTTCTACTTTCTAGAGATAAGTCACGCCGATGATATAGGAATACTGCTATGTTGACAGTTCTTGACCCTATGCGAACCTGACTCGAAATCTAGTTACCTCGTTGCGTCTAATTTGAAAAAAATGGACGTCGGCCCCAAAAATAACATTGATTCATCAACTCGATTTCGTAAATATACATTCGAAATTTTCGAAATCTATGTTAGTTGATGTTACTTATGATTAGAACTATGTCTTTGATGCTGCTATTCGTTTAAAGGTTCGCCTCACTCTTAAATATTAATCATAAATATAAGAGCTTTACTAGTAATATATTTAGCGAGAGCGGTGAGGCTCCCTATTTTTAAAATCGACACATCTGTTCTACCAATAAATTTCTGACTAATAGAAAAAACATTATTTCATGTATTGGAGTTGATCTAAGCTTTACTAACGTCGAGATTATTAAACCGCAAAGCATCTGCTATTTTGTTTAAGGTAGTACTCCGGTAACTTGCATTTTTTAATGCATTTTTGAGAATATTTTATTTGGAAAAAATAAAATTCATCACTTTCATTTTGTAATATATTATTAATAGTATTTTAGAGTGTACAAAAAAATTATTTTTAATATTATATTTGTTGTTTCGTAGTACTGAAATGAGCGACCCAAAAAAAAAGGAGGTTGTGATTTGGTTGCTTGGGGACATCTGAAACAGAAAAATCAAAAAGATTATTGTTCTGTTAGCTTGTCATTCTTGAAACTAGAATTAAACAATTTCGTTGAAAAATATAAAAATGGCTGGCTTCGAAAAAATTATCTAATGTAATTTTTTAAGTGAAAATCAGGCTGTGAAATGGAAAGTTAGCAATTAACAAAATATCTTAGTTCCTGCGAGAGCTATTGATGATAAGAATAACATATTCAAATTTCAGCCTAATCCATTGCATAGAAAATTTTGTATCATCGGGTCGTCGGATTGATGAACGTTGTTTCGAGAAAAATGCGTTTAAAGTTTCAACAACAGATTAAATATGTTTCTATTTATTCCCTTACTATTAGGAGTTGCTCACGTATAGGTGCTATTACTGCGTAAATATTTCGATTTTTGTTCTAAAATTTTCACAGTATAATTTTAATACAGTACTTTCGAAAATAAGTAGGCTTTTCCGAACCAAGTTACCAAACTACTACCTTAAACATATCTGTTTAATAAGGAAAGAAAATAAGAAATGTTTTATATATATTATAAAGAGATGTGTGGTCTTTTTACTTAGATAGGGCTGAGCAACTTTTTTCATATAAATAATTTGCGAACTAGTTTCATGCCATTTAAAGAATAGTTTATGCCTAGTCGCTGGATCGTATTGAAAGTTGTAATTTTGGTCGTAAAGGTGGTTGTTTGTTTATGTATGGAGGGGATAATCTTTTTAGGTTCTTTCGCATAACATTTGAATGCCATTATCGGGACAATAGTTTTTCCGAATATATATCAAGCCACCATGACCGCCCTGTGGGAGAATGTATGCGCGTGTTGGTAAATGACTAAACTAAGTTTCGGTAGCGACTTATCATTATTGACAGCTGACAGCAGTTAGACAGCGTGACAATTGTGGTGGCGCGGGAGTTTTTGTCAACAACGCAGCCCAAGCAGTTGCTTGTAATTCTATTACTAGCTATCAATCTTTCAGCTACAAAACCAAATACGAATACTACATCAGCAAGTGTATGATTGTGTACAGACTAGTCACTCGAGGATATTACATAATAAAACGACGTTTTCCAGTGCAAACGCTGACATTTCAGTTAAGTAGAGGGTTCGTTAGTGCGCCATATGGCACGACGAAGCATTCTGGCTATGAGTGTATGGTTAATGTAATGGTATTGACAGCAACATTTGGTATGTAACGTTTATTCATACTTTTTGTAGTACCATTTTTAGGTTTTAATAAAACTTTTCTTTTAACTGAACTCAGCTGGTTTTGTTATTCACCAGCCAGGAAAGAAGCAAAGTATGAACACACTACCGGGTTTCGCTAAGTTTCTGTGTTAATTCGGAGAGATTTGGGTTCGGATTCTGAAGTTTTATTCAAGAGCGTTGGCAACGCAACTTTATAGTTCATTGGGAAAAAAAATAATAGGTAAGACTAGTAGAAGTAGACTACACTTGCTAAGAAGCTTGAACGTGTTCAAAGGGGTTCATTTTAAACATAGCATCTGTGACATTTGCCGGCAGGTGTATTGCTGCAAAAGCTGAGTGAAGCTGGGTATATGAAGGTTTCCGGAAAAGGACACGCCGAAATTATCTCCTTCTTTGACTGTATTCCTGAAAACTTGAATCACTGCGTCGCAGCGGCCACTTGTGGCGGATTTTTCTCTGCTTAGTTAAGGAGTGTCTGTCCTCACTAGAAATAGCATCAAGTTACTTTATCATCAGACTCTTTGGGTGCCTGGTCATAGCGGAAAAGCTGGCAACTGCAAAGCCGATGAGCCAGTCAGAGGGGGCACCTTTGCACCGCTCACATTGGAACGGGACCTTACCATGCGGTAAGGTTTTAAATCTTGACGGACACAGGTTGTCAAAGTTGTATGGAGGATGGCGAGGTGGACACATCCAGGCACTTTCTCCTCCATTGTCCAGCATTTGCAAGACTGAAAATGAAACATCTCGGCAGTTTTATCTTCGGTGAACTGAGAGACATTCTGAACAAATTTGTAATAGGCCCAAGGCGCTTTGTCGATTTGTAAGGATCTTAAGATCTTTTATTAAGGAGTTTCGCGTAGCACAGCAGACCGACGATCGAAGCTTTTCAAGTGAGGTCCTTATTAGGATCGACCCTTTAACCTAACCTATCCAAGTCGAAGTAGAGTAGAGTAGTTTATGGACACGTGCCAAATTTCGTGAAGATTTCTCGTCAAATGAAAGAGTTTTCCATACAAGCACTTCATTCCGATTGTTCAGTTTGTATGTCAGCTATATGCTATAGTCACCCGATCTGAATAATTTCTTCGGAGATTAAATTGTTGCCTTAAATAATAATCCGTGCCTTATTTCGTGAAGATATCTCGACAAATGAAAGAGTTTCCCATACAAACACTTGATTCCGATTGTTCAGTTTGTATGGCAGCTATATGCTATAGTGGTCCAATATCGGTCGTTCCGACAAATGAGCAGCTTCTTTGTGAAGAAAGGAAGGAAGATTGATTGCTTAAAAACGGAGGGACTAGTTTGTATATATATATACAGACAGACGGACAGACAGAAAGACAGACAGACGGACATGGCTAAATCAACTCAGCTCATCATACCCTGTTCAGGGTATAATTACTTGTAAAAGTTACAAAAAAAAGTCTGTATCTTAACTGCTAACTATCGCTAGCTAGCAATGCTGCTAGAAAAATGTTTTTTAACCCGATAAACTAGCAGAAATTAGCAGAAGCCAGCACAAGTTGAGAGCTTAAAAAGCTGAGAGAGTTGCTAGTTTTTGCTAATGAAAGTTTTACTAGCAAAAAAATATCTGCTGCCATATGAAGGAACAGCTGTTAAAGCACATGCGTATACAAGCGATATTTGACGCATTAGCTTTGATTTTGTTTATTTTCATTTGTATTGTTTTGGATTGTGAAAATAATAAATATAAAGTGATTGTAAAAAACAACATTTTGATATTTTCTTGCTAGTTTCTGCTGGTTCTCCGTTTCTTTACTTTTTATTTGTCATTTGAGTGAAAATAGAAAAAGAATAGAACCACCAAACCAAAATCACTCTATTTTCGTCTGTCAATCACTATAATCGATGCGCTGTCAGCAGTCAGGATACATTAAGTGCTATGAAGTTTTCTCCTTGAATATTTTTCTTCCCACGATCTTTAATTTAACACCGTCCGCTGCAGGGAGTGCAATCGACATTTCACTTCTGCATTATAGGTTTTTTATTACATATTAATAGTTTCGTTTCGTCCATCATTTCCAATTGCTGAATTAAATTTCCCAAATTGATTGATCTATGTAGATGATGTTAATGCATATCTGCAATTTTGAAATTTGTTGAGTGTGTTCTTGTAAGTGTTATGAGTGTTCGGGGTGTTGCAGGTCACCTGTGCATTCTACGAGTATTTACATCTATGATGTTAATGCATATCTGCAATTTTGAAATTTGTTGAGTGTGTTCTTGTAAGTGTTATGAGTGTTCGGGGTGTTGCAGGTCACCTGTGCATTCTGCGAGTATTTACAGCTGTTACGTTTGAAGTTTTCAATTGAAACCAACTCTTCCGAATCGTATTTCAGTCGCAGTTAGCGCGAGGTGGTTTTATTGATTATCGCTACGCTGGTTTTTGTGCTTTTCTATGGCAAATAAATCAAGTTCTTCGAGACATTTTCATAGTTTTTTCACTTAACGGTCCTGAATTTATATCTGGCCAAGGATTGTCAACTCAGCACCAGCTTCTAAAGATATTTTGGAAAAATTTTCTAATCAAAAAAAAGGCGTGACGCTAATTTTAATACCATGACTGGGGTCTTGCTTGTCTTTTATTCCTTTAAAAATATGATGTGCGGGCGTTATTTACCAGATTTTTAGTTTTTGTAGGCTTTTATTGAGTATACTCGTATACTAATTCTCTACACATTCTTCAGAATGAGGTTGTTTGCATGGTATTCATATACGAAATGAACTACAATACATTCCTGAGCATTTGATGAGCTTTTGGAAAGATTTAAATTTTCATTAAAATATTTTATACTATAAACACATATGTATATACGTATATAAATATAATTAACCAGTCTTTTTGCCAATGGCTTTGCTGAAGCAAAATTTATTTTTGGTCTTATTGACCATAGAGGCAGAAGAGATAAATGAGGTTTTATTGAAGCAGGGGGTTGTTTTGCAGGCCTTGCCACCTACTAAACTAAATTAAATATGTAT